AAAAAAAAAAAAAAAAAAGACCTCATCTCTAGAAATAGCTGGGTGTTGTGGCAAGCACCTATAGTCCCAGCTACATGGGAAGCTCAGGCAAGAGAATGACTTGAGTCCAAGAATTTGAGGTTGCTGTGAGGTATGACACCACGGCACTCTACCAAGGGCATGAAAGTGAGACTCTGTCTTAAAAAAAAAAAAAAAGAACCCCATCTCTAAAAATAGCCAGGTGTTGTGGCAGGTGCCTATAGTCCCAGCTACTCGGGAGGCTGAGGCAAGAAAATCACTTAAGCCTAGTTTGAGGGTACTGTGAGCTATGATGCCATAGGACCCTACCAAGGGTGACAAAGTAAGACTCTGTCTCAAAAAAAGAAAGAAAAATAAAAGATTTCAGTTAGATATTGGAAAGACTTCCCAGTCACCAGCCAAGACCATGTTTAGAGCGAGCCTCTGAGAGGCCTTGATGAGGGAAACAAGATCCTGGAGAGGGTAGCTGGGCATCCCCTGCACCCAACCACATCCCTCTCTCTCCATACTTGGGCCTTTGAGAGCTCACCAAACCCCCACCTCCTCTGCCCCAGCTGGCAGCTAAGGAAGCGAAACTTCGGGACCTGGAGGATTCGCTGGCCCGGGAGCGGGACACCAGCCGGCGGCTGCTGGCAGATAAGGAACGAGAGATGGCCGAAATGCGGGCAAGGATGCAGCAGCAGCTGGACGAATACCAGGAGCTGCTGGACATCAAGCTGGCCCTGGATATGGAGATCCATGCCTACCGCAAGCTCCTGGAGGGCGAGGAGGAGAGGTGGGCTGGGGAGGAGCCAGGGAGGTGGCAGCGGTAGCCTGTGGCCTGTGCCTAACCTTGACAAGGCCCCTCCATGTGGTCTCCCCCTCCCCAGGCTACGCCTGTCTCCCAGCCCCAGTTCACAGCGCAGTCGTGGCCGTGCCTCCTCCCACTCGTCCCAGACACAGGGTGGGGGCAGTGTCACCAAAAAGCGCAAGCTGGAGTCCTCTGAGAGCCGCAGCAGCTTCTCCCAGCATGCACGCACCAGTGGGCGTGTGGCAGTAGAGGAGGTGGATGAGGAGGGCAAGTTTGTGCGGCTGCGCAACAAGTCTAATGAGGTAGGTCGAGTCAGGGTCTGAGGGCCTGCAGCTGTGTCTGGAGAGAGGCAGCAGGAGGCGGGGCTGAAGGTTGGGGAGAGGAGGATCCACCTCTCAGAGGGGCCCTGGACTACTGTGTGGGTCTCCTGCACACTCTAGTTGGAGTCCTGCCTCCTGGACTCATTGGCTGTGAGACCTGGGGCAAGTTATCTTAACCTCTCAGAATGTCAGTTTCCTCATCTATAAAATGGGATGATTAATAAGCCTATAACTCTTGAATTCTGGAAAGAGGAAAGACAGTGTCCGTATGCCTGGCACAGCATTAGTGCCTACAGACCATAGTGCTTCTCCTTGGGGGGAAAGGCAGTGACAGGTGGGCAGGTGGGAGGGCAAGGGAGGGATGGAGGGGGAGGCCCTTGAGCAAGATAAATCCAAGAGCCTGGATGAGCCATCTGCACCTTCCTGTTCTCTATCTTCCTGGCAGGACCAGTCCATGGGCAACTGGCAGATCAAGCGCCAGAATGGAGATGACCCCTTGCTGACTTACCGCTTCCCACCAAAGTTCACCCTGAAGGCTGGGCAGGCAGTGACGGTGAGTGGCAGGGAGCTTGGGGTGCTCTCTATAGTGGCTGGATGGGAAAGGGAGTGCGGAGTGAGTGTCCTTCTCTAATCCCTCTTTTCCAGATCTGGGCTGCAGGAGCTGGGGCCACGCACAGCCCCCCAACGGACTTGGTGTGGAAGGCGCAGAACACCTGGGGTTGTGGGAACAGCCTGCGCACTGCACTCATCAACTCCACTGGAGAGGTGAGTGTGCCCAGGCAGGCCTCTTACTGGGCAAGCCTCCCCCTGGTGGCTAAAGTCAGAGCCATCTGTCCTCAACACAGGGACCCAATTCTGGGCCATCTGCTAGAACACCCCCACCTAGTGGACAGACCAAAAAATGCCTCCCCAGCAGGAGGAGGGATGGAAGGCAGACAGCTAGGGCTGCTCAAGCAAAGCCACACCCGACCCAGAGAGCTGGATGGCATCCCTTGGGGGGAAATGAGCTCTCTAGCTCCAGCACCACTCAGGACAGAGAAGGCAGAAGTCTGGACAAGGGCAGGCCCTCAGAAGGCTCCAGGCGGTCACTGTGGGTAAATGTGCTATATGCCCCTCCCCTTACACTAAGCCCCTGACCCTTGGGCTTGGTACCTTGTCCTCGGCAGGAGGTGGCCATGCGCAAGCTGGTGCGCTCAGTGACTATGGTTGAGGATGACGAGGATGAGGATGGAGATGACCTACTCCATCACCACCATGTGAGTGGCAGCCGCCGCTGAGGCCGAGCCTGCACTGGGGCAACCCTACCAGGCCTGGGGCCAGCCTCTCCCCAGCCTCCCTGTGCCAAAAATCTTTTCATTAAAGAATGTTTGGAACTTTACTCGCTGCCCTGGCCTTTCTTCTCTCTCCTCCTATACCTTGAACAGGGAACCCAGGTGTCTGGGTGCCCTACTCTGGTAAGGAAGGGAGTGGGAACTCTCTGATGCCATGGAATATTCCCATGGGAGCAGTGGACAGGTTCTAGATTTGTCTCATGGGAAGGGGACAGGAGGACAGACGTGGGGCACCTTGGCCCTGCCTCTCTCCCCCATCTCTGTTGCATGTAGCTCTTTTCTCATCCTTTCTCCATCCCTGTTGCATGCGTGTCTTCTCATTCCCCTCATTATTCCTGAGAGAATATTCTCTCTCCTTCTTGCCCCCTCTAATTAATGCCTGCTGCCCCATAAGCTTGCTCCTTCTCTTGCTTCTTTTCCCCTTAGACTTCAAGTAGCAACCCAGAGTCAAAGGCACAACTCCTATTTTCTGTTCCCAAGTCTTCCTGACCCTTCTACCCCTTCATGTCCTCCCTTCTTCTACCTCTTAGGCCCCTATGTCCTCTGGCTCCCTGGGCACAGGACCTACCTTCCTGCCTAGAGGCCAGGAGCCTGCAGGAGTCAGAGCCTGGGCTGGGGCCTGAGCAGTCCCAGACTCGCCGTCCCGCCTGAGCCTTGTCTCCCTCCTCAGGGCTCCCACTGCAGCAGCTCGGGGGACCCCGCTGAGTACAACCTGCGCTCACGCACTGTGGTGTGCGGGACCTGTGGGCAGCCTGCCGACAAGGCATCTGCCAGCAGCTCTGGAGCCCAGGTGGGCGGATCCATCTCCTCTGGCTCTTCTGCCTCCAGTGTCACTGTCACTCGCAGCTACCGCAGTGTGGGGGGCAGTGGGGGTAGCAGCTTCGGGGACAACCTGGTCACCCGCTCCTACCTCCTGGGCAACGCCAGGCCCCGAACCCAGGTGAGTTGCCCCTTTGTCTCCACACCCTGCAGGCAGGACCCTGGCCATTGAGGGGTTAGGACAGGCAGTCCTCTGTAGGGAAGGGCCTTCTCTTCTGCAGCCCGGGGGAGTAGGAGCCTCCTCCTCTTGGGGAGTCCTAGAAAGCCCCCTCCTGCTCCCTGCCTCTTGTCTGAGCCCCAGACTGGAGGGCAGGGCAGGGCTGGGGTGTGAGAGGTAGGGGAGATACCACCTCCTTCTCGGGGCTGGGGAGGGTCTGGGCCAGGTGCTGCCGCTCATACTTCCCTTTCTCTTCTCTCTCAGAGCCCCCAGAACTGCAGCATCATGTAATCTGGGACCTACCAGGGAGGGGTAGAGCAGAGGACTCCTGTTTCCTCCTCACCTCCTGCCCAGCTCCTCCCCTGCACTTGGCCTTCACAGGCAGGGGCTTGAAGCCAAAGAAAAAGAAAAATACCCCTTTGGTTTTTTTCTTCTGTATTTTTTTTTCTAAGAGAAGTTATTTTCTACAGTGGTTTTATACTGAAGGAAAAACACAAGCAAAAAAAAAAAAAATGCATCTATTTCAATCCTAATTTCTCCTGCCTGCCTTTTCCCTGCTTCCAGGAAATTCCAAATCTGCCTTAAAACCAAAGAAAACTTCCTCTGGGAGCCAAGGGATGGGGTGCTTTTACAAGCCTAGTTTTCTGCTTTTGTCCCACCCACTCCCCACCCCCAACCCCTCGGGGTCCCATGACATGGTGCCTAAGAGGCAAGCATGAGGCTTCTCTGCCAGCCTCCTCTAGACAGCAGGCCCACGGCCAGGCCAGCCTCTGAGAGGAGAGAGGACTCTTGGTCCCACTACACCTGGCTAAGACACCTCTGCCTGCCCCATCTCCACCCTACTTTGCCCCGGGGTAAGTCCGTTCTCCCAGGTACCACTGCACTTGCTTTCTCTGCATTTTCCTTAGACAAGAGATGGAAATGAGGCAGAAGGGGGAAGAAGGTGAGTTTGAGCTGCCTTTCTTAGCTCGTCACAATCACTGGAGGGACTGAGTCAAGTGAGGTGCAGGAAGGAGGGAGAGAGAGACCATCAAAAAGGGTCAGAGCCTGCTGTGCCCATCCTCTCCCCTAGAGCAGGAAGGGGAGGGGGCACAGAGCAGTGAGGCAGCAGTTTGGGCAAACACTAAGGATCCCCTTGGCCTCCCCATTTCCCATCTGCACCCCTTCTCTCCAAATCAATACACTAGCTGTTTCTACCCTGGCTGCTGTGGTGTCTTTGTTGGTGGGCATAGTGTGTGCTCTGAGGGCTGACTCACTGACACAGGTGCTTCCTGGACACTGCCCTTCTGCCAGTCACCCTGCCCTGGGGAGACCAGAGTGGGGAAGCCCTCCCAGCGCTTCAGGCACATATCAGGGCACTCAGTGGTGGCTGAGGAGGAAGCAGTGTTGGCCTGAGTGTCGCTCCACCATGTGGTTCTCTCCCAGTGTTTGTCCTTCAGAGAAGGAGGGACTGAAAGAGGGCGTTTCCTTCCTAATTTCTTTCATTCCATCATCACACGAACACTTCCAAGTGCCTTCTCGGGTCCCTGAGCCAAGCACCAATATGGAGACATGAGATAGGCTCTCTCTGAAGTAGTGACATCTCAGACAGGGTGGGAAGGAGCAGGGTTTGCTGCAAAGAAGTAATTAACATCCCTTTGTGCTACGTTGTGTTTAGGTGATGGGACAGGGACATGAACAAGAAAACACATGCAGTATCCTCAGGGAAATTACAGCCCATTGGAAGTCAGAAAAGGAGACTGCTGCAGACAGAAGGACATGTCCAGCAGAGCAGGAGCCTCTGAAGGGAGAAGGCTAGTAGCCTGAGGGTGGGAGGAGCCTAGGCTGAGGGAAGGGGCCCCAAGGGATCACGAGCTTTAGCAACTAACCTTTCTGTGGACCTTATGAAAGGAGTTTCCTTTTTTGCACTACTTTATACGACCCTCATACTGTCTTGAGAGGTGGTTATTGTCCTCCTTTCTCTTGGAAAGGGAGATTCAATTAATGTGCCCAAGGCCACATAGCTAGCAGGTGGCAGAAATCCCAAGATTTTGAAAGTTGTGTTCCCGGCTTGGCGCCTGTGGCTCAAGCAGCTAAGGTGCCAGCCACATACACCTAAGGTGGCGGGTTCGAATCCCCAGCCTGGGCCCGCCAAACAACAATGATGGCTGCAACCAAAAAATGGCCAGGC